AATTGACATACACCCCGTGGTAGCTGACACCCTAAGAACTTGTGAGAAGAGCAGAAGCAGGTTGAACCATACAATTGATTACGCCCTACACAAATGTTCATGTTGTTTGATTATCAGAGCTGTAAGTCTTAATATCAAACTGATCAGAAGATTCTAGTCACAGGTAAACATAGGTGTTGCTTTGCTGTTAGACCTGTGATGAAAATGGATTATGAAGTTTTGATGATTGTACCTTTCAAACACTCTAATTTTTTTCTGAGGACAAAATATTTAGTGTATACCGAGAAATGTTTTGCCGCAGTTTAACTTGGGCCTTTTTTGCTCCCCCTAATGAGGGCAAATTTATCATGACATTGAATATTAGTTGACAGCATAGAATATATAGTAATTACATACACTATGCTATGTTATATTGCTTTGAAAATATACATTTTCCTAATTTTATGAAAATTCCACTGTATTTTCACAATCAAAAGCTTCTTTATGTCCGTCTCTGTGAAAGAAGACGGATCAGGGGTGAACAGTTTCCTATTTAAAGTACTAGCCAAAAAGGCAGATTTTAAAAAACTCTGCTAGCCATCCTAAGTTTTCTTTATCTAGTAAATATTTAAAATTTCCTCTAGTCCTGGCATATAATCTGAGAGCCCCAGGCATCAGGCTAGTGGAATTAGTTAGGTGTTGCTTTGCAGTTAGACCTGTGATGAAAATGGATTATGAAGTTTTGATGATTGTACCTTTCAAACACTCTAATTTTTTTCTGAGGACAAAATATTTAGTGTATACCAGGAAAATTTGTTGCAGTTTAACTTGTGCCTTTTTTGCTCCCCCTAATGAGGGCAAATTTATCATGACATTGAATATTAGTTGACAGCATACAATATATAGTAGTTACATACATTTTGCTGTATGTTGTTATATTGCTTTGAAAATACACATTTTCCTAATTTTTTGAAAATTCCACTGTATTTTCACAATCAAAAGCTGTATATATGTCTCTGTGAAAGAAGATGGGTCAGGAGTGAACAGTTTCATATTTGAAGTACAAGCCCACAGGCAGATTTTGAAACATTCTGCTAGCCCTCCTAAGTTTTCTTTATCTAGTAAATATTTAAAATTTCCTCTAGTCCGGGCATATAATCTGCGAGCCCCAGGCATCAGGCTAGTGGAATTGTATATCCCTGCAGATGAAGATGAAAAGTGCATGTTGTGATAATAAGCCGGTGAAGTGTATTGAGACGGTAAAACATACTTAATGTATATCAAGATATTTACATATACATACAACCAATTATAATACAATATACTGATATATCTGTCCGGTGATGAACTTTCAGTATGAATATAAATTTGATGATTGTAATAAAATACACTCTAATTTTTTTTCTGAGGACAGACAGACAGCTTAGACACATAGTCTAAACATTTATATTTAGAGATTAGACTAAACATTGATATTTAGAGATGTTTGATAATAGACAACTACCAGGCTCTTGTTGGCGTTTCTGAAATATAAATCACCGTAAAAGCTTGATATTGGATTGATTAAATGGAATTTTGCCAATTTTTTTACAATCAGTCGGACCAACTTATAAAGTAGGATGTACTGGTAGCTTTTAGATATTTTGCATTATATTTATTGACTGGTCACGTGGTCAAGCTGAAGTTATACATGTATCAAGATTAGGATAAGGGTATTGATATTTGTTAAATTCACATACACCCCGTGGTAGCTGACACCCTAAGAACTTGTGAGAAGAGCAGAAGCAGGTTGAACCATACAATTGATTACGCCCTACACAAATGTTCATGTTGTTTGATTATCAGAGCTGTAAATCTTAATATCAAACTTATCAGAAGATTCTAGTCACAGGCAAACATAGGTATTGCTTTGCTGTTAGACCTGTGATGAAAATGGATTATGAAGTTTTGATGATTGTTCCACTCAAACACTCTAATTTTTTTCTGAGGACAAAATATTTAGTGTATACCGGGAAATGTTTTGCCGTAGTTTAACTTGGGCCTTTTTTGCTCTCCCTATAGCTAATGAGGGCAAATTTATCATGACATTGAATATTAGTTGACAGCATACAATAAATAGTAATTACATACACTTCGCTATATGTTCTATTGCTTTGAAAATATACATTTTCCTAATTTTATGAAAATTCCACTGTATTTTCACAATCAAAAGCCCCTATGTCCGTCTCTGTGAAAGAAGACGGATCAGGGGTGAACAGTTTCCTATTTAAAGTACTAGCCAAAAAGGCAGATTTTAAAAAATTCTGCTAGCCCTCCTAAGTTTTCTTTATCTAGTTAATATTTAAAATTTCCTCTAGTCCTGGCATATAATCTGAGAGCCCCAGGCATCAGGCTAGTGAAATTAGGTGTTGCTTTGCTGTTAGACCTGTGATGAAAATGGATTATGAAGTTTTGATGATTGTATTATTCAAACACTCTAATTTTTTTCTGAGGACAAAATATTTAATGTATACCGGGAAATGTTTTGCTGCAGTTTCACGTGGGCCTTTCTTGCACCCCCTATAGCTAATGAGGGCAAATTTATCATGACATTGAATATTAGTTGACGGCATACACTATATAGTAATTACATACACTTTGCTTTATGTTGTATTGCTTTGAAAATACACATTTTCCTAATTTTGTGAAAATTCCACTGTATTAACAGTTTCTTATGTAGATTACTAGCCCTCCAAAGTTTTCTTTATTTAGTAAATATTTAAAATTTCCTTTGGTCCTGGCATATAATCTGCGAGCCCCAGGCATCAGGCTAGTGGAATTTTATATCCCTGCAGATGAAGATGAAAAGTGCATGTTGTGATAGTAAGCCAGAAGAGTGTATATTGAGCAGTAACATAAAGTTATTTATATAAAAGTGATTATAATTCAATATACTGATATATCTGTCCGGTGATGAACTTTCATTATGAATATAAATTTGATGATTGTAATAAAATACACTCTAATTTTTTTTCTGAGGACAGACAGAGAGCTTAGACACATAGTCCAATCATTGATATGTAGAGATGTTTGATAATTGACAACTACCAGGCTCTTGTTAGCGTTTCTGAAATATAAATCACTGTAAAAGCTTGATATTGGATTGATTAAATGGAATTTTGTCATTTTTTTACAATCAGTCAGACCAACTTATAAAATATGATGTACTGGTGTCTTTTAGATATTTTGCATTATATTTATTGACTAGTCACTTGATCAAGCTGAAGTTATACATGTATCAAGATTAGGATAAGGGTATTGATATTTGTTAAATTCACATACACCCCGTGGTAGCTGACACCCTAAGAACTTGTGAGAAGAGCAGAAGCAGGTTGAACCATACAATTGATTACGCCCTACACAAATGTTCATGTTGTTTGATTATCAGAGCTGTAAGTCTTAATATCAAACTGATCAGAAGATTCTAGTCACAGGTAAACATAGGTGTTGCTTTGCTGTTAGACCTGTGATGAAAATAGATTATGAAGTTTTGATGATTGTACTATTCAAACACTCTAATTTTTTTCTGAGGTTTAATCATTTATAAGTTTTCGGTTTTTATTTGTGTTTATTCTTTTGCTGGAGAGATGTCTTTATGCAATATTACAAGGGTTGTAGTCTCGCCACAAAGTGGAAGCATGACTTAGGTGTTTGCTTTCCGGCAACGGCAGCGTCAAGTTTTTGCAATTAAGTTAGTTTCTCTGAAAGTACCAATGCTAAACCAACCAAACCTAGACCATAGATGCACCTTAGGTAGTACATCTCAACACATGCATCAAATGCTGGATGCAGCCTACTTTTCATGGTCCATTGACTTTGTCAGCATCGCCATCAACTTTAAGATTTTGCATTAAAGTTAGTTTCTCTAAAAGTATATGTGCTAGACCAACCAAACTTGGACCATACATGCATCTTAGGTAGTACATCTCAGTCCATGCATCAAATGCTGGATGCGGCCTACCTTTCATGGTCCATTGACTTTGTCAGCATCTCCATCAGCATTATGTTTTTGTGTTTAAGTTAGTTTCTCTGATCGATTTGTGCATTGCATTGATGGTCAAAGCGGGGCATAGGCGAGACATATTAATCTGAATGGCTTGTTGTATACATTTAGCATTTGTTAAGGGCTGTTTTCTAAAGGAGAATTAAGAACTGATAACAATTTACTGCAATATGAGAAAAAATAATTGTTCGCAAAATTGAAATTTTTTGTTTGTTCCCATATTCTACAAATGATGAATATATATTTTCATATAGAATTTAGCATTTTAAGGGTTCATAATCGTTTTGAAAATATTACATTGCTTTGAAAATATACGTATTTACCCAATTTTGTGAAAATGTTGCTGTGTTTCCCCATAAAAAAATCTTAATGTCTACAAAAAAGGTAGAAAAATCAGTTAATTGGAGGACATGAAAAGTGGATGTTAAGACGAGTAGCCAATGGAAACCCAAGAGGTTATATGGTAATAAATAACCATCTGTCCGATGATGAACATTCTATATGAATTTAATTTTGATGATTGTAATCACAAACACTCTAATTTTTTTCTGAGGACAGACAGACTGTTGAGGAAGTGAGCTGAAAGCTAAAATTAAGGTGTCAAAAAATACTTTCAGAGGTCTACTGAATGCATTGTAAACCTGCATACTACAATTTGAGGATAACTAGCCTTATGTTTAATCTGCTACAGGGATCCCGAGAACAGCTGGCCATTGCTGAGTTTGCGCGGTCCCTACTGGTCATCCCCAAACAGCTGGCCGTAAATGCCGCTCAGGACTCCACCGACCTAGTCGCCAAGCTCCGCGCCTACCACAACATGTCTCAGACGAAACAGGAACACCGAGACCTCAGATGGTGAGTCTTCTTAGTATGTTCTAGAATGACTTTGCTGTTAAACATAAAGTGATGAGTCAAATGGATCTATTTTACGGAGATAGAATTTTTCTGTCCTGCTGGGCGAGAAAAGTTTTGAGCTGCTCCGAGGGGGGTGAGGAATATGTAATGGGTAACTTTTTGCAATACCTAGAGGTCTATGATTGAAAATGACAGATCGGTAGACACTTTCCCTTTATCCACCATATGAGATTGGTATGTCATTGACACTTGTAGCAGTATTATTCAGCTCTCTCAACAATACTTGTGCCCGGCTTGTGCATTTAGCAGAAGCCATTGTTAAATTTCCGATAACTTCATTCATCCACGTCAAACTATTAGACTGATATTTTCCCTGTATTCCTTGACAACACACAAACATAAACTGTTGTATGTGTACGTAGATGTGTATGTACCTGAGGCAAACATGTCTTAATCCCCTTCTCAATTATATTACAGGATCGGCCTTGACCTGTATGAAGGTAAGGTCAAGGACAACAAGAAGCAGGGTGTATTTGAACCCACTATTTCCAAGATCAAATCCCTGAAGTTTGCTACGGAGGCAGCCATCACGATCCTGAGAATAGACGACTTGATCAAACTAGCACCAGAGCAGAAGGAGGGCAACTCTTACCAGGATGCCCTGAGGAGAGGCACCCTATAGATCTTAAAGACTCTAGGACAAATATTTATTTCAATTTCATTTTTACAGTGCTCATATTATCAGCTCCTTGCGACATGGGAAGAAGAAGAAGAAGAGTATTGAAGAAATGAATGCTGGTACGATAAAAAAGCATTATTGCGTTATGTCTTGTTATGAAGACGTACAGTGTACTGTGAACAAAATTGTTTCATAAAATGTGCTTGTTTTTGTATTTGTGTACCCTCTAATCATCTGTAAAAAGAAAAAAACAATAAAAATTAATTTGAAACTAATTGCTTTGTTGTGTCAACAGGTGAATTGAAATTACAACTAGCCTTATGTAGAACAAAAGTAAACGGTCAAATAAAATATTTAAACTACACGAAACAATCCATTATCAAAAGTTGCAGAAGTATCACAATATAGCTGTTCTTGATTTGAAATTTTCTTATGAACCTCAAACAAGGTTTTGGTTAGGATCCCGGTACCACTGCCAAAAACTAACGAAGTGTTGGAAAATGTTTTAACCTATAGTTATGATAAACCATTTCAGAAATGTAAACCATACCTTGCGGAATTTCTATGAGAAATAATACAGACGAAATTATCAAAACATAATCAATAACAGTGTTCCGAGTCTTGAATATTAGGTGGGTCTAGACCAGGATTCAAACACTGGACTTCAGATTGTTACACTTAGCTCTACCTGACAGGTTAGAGTGTATATAGGAAAATACATACCGGTAGTGCAGTGGGACTGCCAAAGACTATCTAAATGTTGGAAACAGCTTTTTCCGGCATGACTATCTTTTTTAGCCCACCATCAGATGATGGTGGGCTATTCAAATCACCCTGCGTCCGTGGTCCGTCCTTAAACAATTCTTGATATCAGTATTTCTCAAAATGTACCAAAGGGATCTTTCTCAAATTTGATATGTAGGTTCCCCTTGGTCCTTAGCTGTGCAGGGCTTTTTGAGACCGATCGGATAAACAACATAGCCGACAGGCAGCCATCTTGGATTTTGATAGTGAAAATTTGTTATCGCTATTTCTCGGGAAGTACCAGAGGGATCTTTCTCAAATTTTATATGTAGGTTCCCCTTGTTCCCTTGTTGTGCAGCAGTGCCTGAAATGGGCGGTCGCCTGCTCGCCAATGGCAGTTAAAGTCTTGCTCAACCAAAAGTTGTCAAAAGTGAGGTAGTCACTGGCCCAACAAAAATAGTTTGGGCGACTGTCAAAAAATTAATGAATAAAAGAAATTATAGTCCCTTCCACATTAACTGGGGGGGGGCAGTACTTTTCAGCTGTCATTACTTCGATTTGAATCGAACTGTCCGTGATTTAGAAAATGTGATGATTTTTTTTTCAGATTTTCTATATAAATACTGCCAGGGTTTCTTCTTTGAGGTGCGGGTTTTGTGTATTTCATTTTGGGAAGACCTGAATGGACTGGATCATGTCGGGTTTTAACTAGGGTTGAAGAATTAAAAATATGTTTTATTCTGTTTTACATATTACAAACATTGTCATGTTATATGTAATTTAAATGTGCTGAAGCATTGTGTTAAATGCTGTGGAAATATTTCTTCCCAAAATTATTTCGGCCATCAATATGTCATTTGGGCAAGTGCTTCAAATTTTTTACTCGCCCAATTTTTTTTATTTGGCCGGCAGGTTCCCCACTGTCCTTTATTGTTCATGTTTACTTTTGAAACTGATCAGTTAAACAAAATGGCCTACCGACAGCCATCTTTGATTTTTGACATTGAAGGTTTGTTAGTACTATTTCTCAGGAATAACTTGAGGGATCTTTCTCAAATTTGATATGTAGGTTCCCCTTGCTCCCTTGTTGTGCATGTTATATTTTGAGACTGATCATAAAAACAAAATGGCTAAAGGAAGAACTAAACAGATCTTTCTCATATTGCAATGATCATTCTATTTCTTTCACATTAAGTACTGTACTAGTCAATATGTGAAATACAAACTCACTTTGAAGGTTGTCTTTCATACACATCAGTATTAAGTTTAGATCAAAAGTTACCTCAAGGTGCATTTATTGTTAACATGACTGGATCAAACAGATTAGAGGAAAGAAGAGAAAAGAAAGAACTAATGAAGATGGTACAATGGTGGGCGCCAAGATCCCTCGGGGTTCTCTTGTTATATAATTTCAGGAAAGAAAACCATACATTGCAGGACATTAAAGATAAGTTAAAAGAATGAAATAAAAGAAATATGATCAACAATAGTGTTTTGATTGGAAACAAATTCAGCGGAGCAAGACTGGAATTCAAATCTGGACTTCAGATTGTTATACTATCGTTCTAAGCAATTTAGCTACCTGGCCAAACTGTGCTAGTTATTTAAGCATTGAACTGCTTTCAGTTATTCATAGGCAATATGAATGCCAACTGGACAAAGGCAAATTCTATGAAACGAGNTGGCATTCATAGGCAATATGAATGCCAACTGGACAAAGGCAAATTCTATGAAACTAGCGTTACATTTGTCTTTGTCCAGTTGGAATTCATACTGCCTATGAATACCAACTGAAAGCAGTTCAATACTTGCATTAACCATCATAGAAAATTCAATTACACATTAATATTCAGCATTTTGTTTGTATGTATGGTGTATGCTTGTTCAATGAATAGAACAGCTATCACCCAGGGAGGGCCAGTGGTATCCAACGTTACAATTATGACGTCAACAATGGGTCCATGGCATTCCTAGCCTATATGAATGCCAACTGAATTTGGTAGGGTTATATAGTGACAATGCCATACGATGGTAAAGTTAAGAGGAGGTTACTGTATATAGGGGAAAAACAAAGTACAATGGGACAGGGATCCTAAAATTTACTGTTAGGAGAGTGTAGGCCTGCCCCTGACTACTTTTGTAATAATTGTCGGCTTCAAGTCCACTTTTAAAAGTATACAAAGTTAAAATTCAAATAGACTAATCGACACACACACAAAAAATGATATTTGAATTTCTGATTGTGATCATGAACATCAGGCGAAGGTCTTTAATAATGATTTGATATGCTAAAAAAGTCCTTGAAGCATATATCTTCTATGTCGCATGTACTAACTACATCTGATATGCATAGAGTGCAAGAATAGATCGCTGTGACCTAGGCTTTCACCCTTGACCTTGACCTTTTAAAAACGGGGTTTTCCCATATCTTCTATACTGTTTCTATGAGGAGCAGATCACTGATATCTGTATATGCTTTAACCTCTGACTTCAGTCATTGAATAATATTTGACCAAGGGTAACCAGATTCAGTATGCAGGTACATTCATTGGACAGAAATTTACCGATTCTTTATCAGGATATGTTCTTTACAGTAGGTTGATCCTGAGGTAGGTGAACAGCGGGGTGGGGAGTATGGATTGCCTGGCAGGACTTTGCCTTGTTTTCTGATACTTTCGTACTGTTACATACAAAAGTTTATTCAGCTCTAAGTGTAATTTATTCTTGGAAAATATGTTGATCTTAGCCTTTTCAAGTTTGACATTGAATGCATAATCTTGTCAATAGTGAATGCAACTCCAGGCAACTTCGATCAAAACGTCGTACTGCTGGGCTTGGTATTGTCATTTTACTAGAATAGTTACTAATTTGTTAAAAAAGGGAGAGATTTCTGATTTCTTCAAGTAGTAAAAAAAATCTGTTCCATCAGCTAAAAGCTCAAAATAAAACTTAGAAACAGGGAGAACCTTCTGATTAAAAAGGAAATAAAAAAAAATATGTGCTTCACTTTCTGAAAAATGACAATAGCAAACTTCAAAAAATAAAATTTAAGAATGATCGAACTGCAAAATGAAATCTTTTTAACTAAGAGCCGATTCTAGATGAATCTGTATAAAAAGAAATGATTTTTCAAGTACTTTCCGAGAAATAGCGGGAACAAACTTTAACCGTCAAATTCCGACATGGCCGCCTGGCTGAGAACTAAGGACCAAGTGGAATCGGAGAAGGATAACGAGCACCTCTGGAGCAACAGCGACAACACCAATTGTTAAGCCTGTAAGAGGAATCACTGACGAAAGGCGATTTTAAGAGAAAAACATCTTATTGTGTAGGACTCAACTCAAATCATTCTTTGGGTTAAAATCTTTATGGTTGAAACAGTCAACCGGTTTTCACTACAATACACGTTTTTTTAATATTAGTAATGCTGTACTTATTTGTTTTATCTATATTTTTTTTTAATGCTTGGTATAAAATAACAGTTCGACTTCGACTTATTTCTTTTTAATGATAACTGCTTCATTTCATGGTTTAATACATTTTATGGTTAGCCATGACCGGCAATAGAATTATACGGTTACATTTGATCAGTTCTATTCCAAATCTAGGCAGCTAGTCACAATCATATCTATAAAATAAAACTGACCGCTAATAACTTAATATTCAAGACAGTCTTATATTCGAGATTCAAGAGAAACTCAATCCTCAAATCAAAAATTAGAAGGTGCTTATGATATTCCCAGAATCCACATGATTTGCTGCGCCTTTTTCTCGAAGTCCTCCTTGCACTTTTGAATGATTGCCTCTTCTCCTTGTCTGTACTTTTTCCCCATGCTCCTCGCCTGCGCCTTGTACTTCCGGTCAAGATCTTTGTACTTCCGGTTGTACTGTTGTCTCATGTTTGATTCTCTCTGTTTATAGTGGTTCTTTAAACTCTTCTCCCTTCTCCTGTATCTGACAATAAGCTCCCTTTCCTTATTTCGTGCACTTTCTTTTAACATTCTAAATCTTTTGTTGAATTTGTTCCAAGTGTGAGTTTTCCATTCCCGATATCTGTCCCGCAAGTGTTTTTCACGATCGCGAAATTCCGCAATTTGTCGCTTCATCTGTGTCTTGAGAATGAGGATCTGAATTTCGAGGTCGTCAATTTTCTTTGTCAAGTTTTTGCAGTCACACTTTGGTTGGGGCACCACTGTAAATTGACAATTATTATGACGGTGATTAGAAGGCAATACATTTTTTTCTAAACATTTTTTAAAGATGAACGGCAGATGTATTTACTAGAATACATCTTCCACATTGTTCGTGTAATAATTTTAAAACCCTTTATTTTCGTGTGTACATTATTTCACGGAATGCACGTACTTTATATTCGTGAAAACTTTAATTCGTGATTGAGAATTAAGTATTATCTCCGGGAACGAGCAATCACGATCACTTGACACAAGATAGGATTACATAGGCTCTGTTCATAAATAAAAACTCTCTCCAAACAGGCATTAATTCTAAGGTTTAAATGAGTTTTTAGAGAATATATAATTCATAGAAGTGTTTTTTTCGGATAAGTCCGTTTTGGCGCGATTCTACTTTTTTTACATTTTCTTCTTAACATTGCTTTACAACAAATGATCATTTTGTAAGTACATGTTTTAACACTCATACTTTAGAGTTACACGTGTCTGTTTATTATCTGTGATAATTGTTTCGTAATTTCAATGACTTTAATCTACAAAGCAGCTCATATATTCCTCACTGGAATTTACAAGTAAAAATTGTACGTTCTAATTCCGTTTAAAATATGTTCAATTTGGTGCGTAGATATCCACTTACGTTCTCTGCACTGAACGTAAGTGGGCGTAGCCCGTGTAATCTCTATGATGGTAGTGTATACTAATTTAGTAAAGATTTTGGACTGGTTGTAGCATACGGAAAGCAAGTAGTATTATAGACAGGTTGTATTATCCTTAGTAGACAGGTAGTATTTTACAGTAGACAGGTTATAGAAAACAGATGCAATGTAGGTATAATATGGGCTTGCGTGTTAGCGAGGTTCTGGTTCCCCGAGACCAACGCCCGTCTTCACGTTACTATAGTGTTCCAAAGCTCTATTTCCTATTCCAGTAATGAATGATTTTGGAGATTTTTAGGGAGACTTAAATTATGATACCGTTTCCAGTGTTCACACTTAATTTTTGACCGTGTCACGCGATGTAAGCGAGCCAGAAAGTTGTTTGATAACGGTTTGTACGAATAAGGGCCTTGTTCTATTTTCCAAACAAAACCAAGAAAAATAGGCTTAGACAAGATAACCAGAAACTTGCTATATCCTTTAACTCCACACTGTAACGATTTTTTACGACACTTAAAAACATTATTTCAACAGCACTTTACGAACAGCTATCGACAGCTTTATCTGTTATTTCAATATTGACTACTCTTTTTTCTCACGATGAGGTCAAGTCAGTACAAGTTTCGCCTTCCTGCAATTTTATTGGCAATGTTATTTCAGTGAGAATGTTACAGAAACTTAAAAGGGAGCTATTATTCTGAAACCTTTGTAACTGCTGAATGAGTTAGTCTGCAGGGATGTTTCAGTTACGGACTAACAAACAGTTGACGTAAGACTAACTCCCTAGTCAGCGGAGTCGGGTCGAAAGCGAAAAAATGGTTAATTAAAAGAGTGTCTTTAACATGATGGGGTAAATAATATTTTTGGTAATACTATATAGAGAAATATACAGATAGGGAATGTTAGCTTACTTAAGTAGTGTTATGTTGAGTGTTTCCTGTATATGAGCATCCTAGTATTGAACTGAAGGCCACTGGAAAGGTCACAGAAAAGGTCACCAGTCACCAAAAAGGTCACCAGAAAGGTCACAAGAGCATTTGTACTGTAGAGGAACGGATTGAAGGTGTGAATCAGATTGATAAACAACATTTCTATATACACGTAACTGCCGCTTGAACATCCATCAACTGTTCTAGATCTATTTATTATGATCATAATTCCTATACAACAATGAGAGAATGAAAATCTGTGAATACTGTTTAATTTATTTAAAATATTCACGTTAATAATCTTATAATTTACGTACAATCTGAGAAGAAGAAAGGCTATTACACAAATATCTTACATAGCATTGATGTTGTTATAGAGGGTGAATTTTCGGTCCATTCTACTTAGTATTAAACCTTTTCATCAAAGTATAAATATCAACAATTAATTACACTCATCCGACTTTGCTGTTAAGCAATGGACAAAGAAACAACAAATATATCAATCCATGATATGCAATTTATTACTGCTAGTTGTGTCATTAATTTATTAACAGAAAATGTTAAGAATCAATATTTCAAAAGTCCTTTGACATCTATATACATCGAACTTTTTTACAGTCAAGTATTTCTATCTATTTTTCGCCCGATGATTCAAACATGCGCCTCCGTCTGTAGCCATTGCGACGTCTTCCATATGACCTTGACCTTTCCCAACGCCTTTGGTAAAGACGTGCGTTATCACCCAGCGATCTGAAGTAATCCCTTCCAAAGGTCAGTAACCTTGACCTTGAAACGAAACAATACAACTTGTCCAGCCATGTCCAACCATAGGACGCCGAGGGGTAGTTGCCAAGGAGATTGAACATATTGTTACAATCTGGGCGTGGTCTAGGTGTTGTGGGCGGTGTAGTTGTCGGGATAGCGGTTGTCGGAGTGCTGGTTGTTGGGGCGGTGGTTGTCGAGGTGGTAGCGGCCGGAGTTGTAGTTGTCGAAGTGGTTGTTGTCGGCATTGCTGTTGTGGTTGTCGTGCTGAAAAGATAAACAATGACAACACATCTTGTTTTGTTCCCATTAACGCGCATTATCTGGTTTTGACAATTGACAATCTCATTAAAGTTAAAAACGTTCATGATATCAGGACCTGAACACCAAGTTGAAGTGTTTACGTGCCGTAAAGTGAACGTTAATACCGAATAAATAATATTACAATAATATGACATACCTTGGTTGCTCCGTTGTTGTTGGTGTAGTTGACGCTTTTGTTGTTGTTGTTGTTGTTGTCGTTGTAGCTTCTGAAAATTCAAAGTTGCCGTGTCACCATAGGAAACAAAGAGTCCAAACGAGGCATTGATATTTGTAAATCTTTAAATCGCAAAAACGTTTTTGTAGACTCTACACGGCTACGTCACACAAAATTAGTCATAATCACGTAATACGCAGGGATTTCTCAAAAAACAAATTCGGCTAAGAGACACATGAACAAAGGAAACGCTGTTGTAAAAGGACGTACTGTAAGACAACCTAAAAGGGTAAACAACATTGGCAAGTGTAGTGAATCGGAAAGAAAAAAACATGTAGGAACGAAAATGAAGGGAATGAAGAGGGCTACCTGGTGATGGTGGCGACGGATATTTAGTTTTGGTTTTAGGATCCCTGTCCCACTGTACTGCCGTCTTTAATTTACACAGTGGTCGTTGTCATGGTGACCTAAAGTGCTGATGTGTTGGTGAGATGTGGTGGAGGTATTTGTGGTGTTGGTGATGGGATAAGGTTGCGGTATTTGTAGTGTTGGTGGTGGGGGTGTTTGTGGTGTAGGTGGTGGGATGTGGTGGCGGTATTTGTGGTGTTGGTGGTGGGGGTATTTGTGGTGTAGGAGGTGGGTTGTGGTGGCGGGATTTGTGGTGTTGGTGTTGGGGTGTGTTTACGGTATTTATGGTGTTGTTGTTGAGGTATGGTGGCGGGGTTTGGGGGGTTGGTGTTGGGATGTGGTGGCGGGGTTTGGGGGGTTGGTGTTGGGATGTGGTGGCGGTGTTTGTGGTGGTGGTGGGGTATGGTGGGGGTGTTTGTGGTGTAGGTGGTGGGATGTGGTGGCGGTAGTTGTGTTGGTGGTGGGGGTATTTGTGGTGTAGGAGGTGGGTTGTGGTGGCGGGATTTGTGGTGGTGGTGGTGGGGTATGGTGGCGGTGTTTGTGGTGTTGGTGGTGGAGTGTGATTGCGGTATTAATGGTGTTGGTGATGGGATGTAGTGGCGGGATTTGTGGTGTTGGTGTTGGGATGTGGTGGCGGTGTTTGTGGTGTTGGTGTTGGGATGTGTTTACGGTATTTATGGTGTTGTTGTTGAGGTATGGTGGCGGTGTTTGTGGTGTTGGTGGTGGGGTATGGTGGCGGTGTTTGTGGTGTTGGTGGTGGGGTATGGTGGCGGTGTTTGTGGTGTTGGTGGTGGGGTATGGTGGCGGTGTTTGTGGTGTTGGTGGTGGGGTATGGTGGCGGTGTTTGTGGTGTTGGTGGTGGGGTATGGTGGCGGTGTTTGTGGTGTTGGTGGTGGGGTATGGTGGCGGTGTTTATGGTGTTGGTGGTGGAGTGTGATTGCAGTATTAATTGTGTTGGTTGTGGGATGTGTTAGTTGTATTTGTGGTGTTGGTTGTGGGATGTGTTGGCTGTATTTGTGGTGTTTGGTGGTTGGGTGTTTGTGGTGTTGGTGATAGGATGTTGTGGCGGTGTTTGTGGTGTTGGTGGTATGATATGGTGGTGGTATTTGTGGTGTTTGTGGTTCGGTGTGGTGGCGGTATTTGTGGTGTTAGTGGTATGATATGGTGGCGGTATTTGTGGCGTTGATGGTGATTTTGGTGTTGGTGGTGGGATGTGGTGGGATGTGGGATGTGGTGGGATGTGGTGGTGTTTGTTATTGTGGTGACGGCGGTGATAGTAGTTAGAGTAATTTGTATGTGTGGTTGTGGTGGTGGTGTTTGTGGTGATTGTGGTAATGGTAGTGGTAGTTGTAGTCGTTGGTGGGGTGATATGTGATGGTTGTATTTATAGTAGAGGTATTTACCAGTAGTTGTAGTCGTCGGTATGGTGGTGGTGGTGGTGGTAGTTGTCGTCTCCTCCTCAGTGGTCGTAGTAGTGTAAAACTCGGTGGTCGTCTCTTCCTCATCGGCCCGACACAGGGCACAACATGTCTCCTGTTCCGTGTAACAATTCTCCTCCCGACACGTTCCTATCTTGTCCCCGAACTCACAATCTGTAAAATACAAACACTCCAAAAAATTATCTAACCTTGGTAGCACGAACTTTTATAATAAATTCTTCAGTCGATGGCAAGCTACCTTTATTTGCATTGTCACAATTTAAATTTAAATTTGTATAATTTGGAAATACATTCCAAATAACGATAGTTGAAATTTTACGAGGTTAAAATAAACTTGGAGGTGCAGACTTACTAGCTATTTTGGTTCTTAACCTGTTGCATTTGGCACAGCACGCTCGCTCCAGAGATTGCTGGTAACAGTTGTATGGTTCAAGGTCGATTTCACCGCATGTTCTACCAAACCTTAACACGGGCTGGTCACCGAACACACAGTTACCTACGTAGTAATACAATGTACAGAATGCGTAATACACAGTTACCTAGGTAGTAATACAATGTACAGAAGGCGTAATACACTGTTATCTAGGTAGTAATTCAATGTACAGAATGCGTAATATACAGTTACCTATGTAGTAATACAATGTACAGAATGCGTAATATACAGTTATCTAGGTAGTAATGCAATGTACAGAAGGCGTAATACACAGTTACCTAGGTAGTCATACAATATACAGAATGCGTAATACACAGTTATCTAGGTAGTAATACAATGTACAGAATGCGTAATATACAGTTACCTATGTAGTAATACAATGTACAGAATGCGTAATATACAGTTATCTAGGTAGTAATGCAATGTACAGAAGGCGTAATACACAGTTACCTAGGTAGTCATACAATGTACAGAAGGCGTAATACACTGTTACCTAGGTAGTAATACAATGTACAGAATGCCTAATACACAGTTACCTAGGTAGTAATACAATATACAGAATGAGTAATACACAGTTATCTAGGTAGTAATACAATGTACAGAAGGCGTAATACACAGTTATCTTGGTAGTAATACAATGTACAGAAGGCGTAATATACAGTTACATAGGTAGTAATACAATGTACAGAAGGCGTAATACACAGTTACCTAGGTAGTAATACAATGTACAGAATGCGTAATATACAGTTACCTAGGTAGTAATACAATGTACAGAAAGCGTAATATACAGTTATCTAGGTGGTAATACAATGTACAGAATGCGTAATACACCGTTACCTAGGTAGTAATACAATGTACAGAAGGCGTAGTACACCGTTACCTAGGTAGTAATAAAATGTACAGAAGGCGTAGTACACCGTTACCTAGGTAGTAATAAAATGTACAGAAGGCGTAGTACACCGTTACCTAGGTAGTAATATAATGTACAGAAGGCGTAGTACGACGTTACCTAGGTAGTAATATAATGTACAGAATGCGTAATACACAGTTACTTAGGTAATTACTGAAATATACAGAAGAAGTAATTCATGATTACCTAAGCAACGCTACAATTTACATACAGTAACACTGTCTTCTAGGTAACGCCACAGTTGATATAAGCAGTGCCACAGTTTCCTAGGCAACGCTACGAATTACATTTTGTGACAGCTTCCTATGTAACGCTTTGACAGTTGCCTAGGTAACGCTTCAATTAATTGTGACAGTCACATAGGTTACGCTACCATTTACAAAGAAGACAAAGTTTTCCAATGCACAATACTATTTATATCCAATAATGCTCATGCAGTTGCCTAGGCAACGATACAAACAGATTCAGTATCACTATCAGTTTATGGTCAACTACTTCTAAAATATCAAAAGTCCCATATTACATTTTCTTTCTTAGAGACTTATTAATATACAGAAGTTATATGACTTGGGTTTCATGAAATCTTCACTTTAAAAAGCTTCGTTTTATTAAGTTGACAAAAAATATAAATTAATGCAAGGGACGATTTGTGACACATGTACCCAAATAGGTATGGACGAATACTGTTTATTAATGCTGTGTTGTTGACGACATGGTGTAAGTGCTGGGTTATCTGACATTATTATGACCTACCTACAGCTGCCGGGGCTGTTACGTCTGCTTCACACACGCCTTGGTTACATTTCTGACAAAATCATGAATTACAAGTGAATTTTAATCAAACTTAGAACTGTTAATCAAAGGCGAACAAATACATTCATCCAAACACCAATTGAAAATAATGTACACAAAGTATGCAACTATAAGGTGAAAACAAAAGTAGTCATGTAATTATATAAATGTCTGTTGGTAATATTTTCGGCAGTGTCCAGTTCTAACAATTTCTATCCGTAACTGGGCCCGTTATCAATGTCCCCTAACTATCACTGCAGCCGCAAATGAATTAAGCATTGCACGTGATATTTACGGGCGTAAAAGTATGAACCAATCAAAGGCAAGGACAGTCATCTTGAATCCCGAAACTTAAAAGTTGACTGCTTTGTATAATAAGGATATCCCTTAAATCTCCGACGAAGTTTAAATTTTTTAATCCTGAAACTTAAAGCTGTTGAAAATGTTTGTCGCTCTCCCCTTGTCTCTCATAAATTTGCATTGAAATCGGTGAGATATTTCAGAAGAACTAGTTGTCTTGTAATTGCCTCAAATGGCAAAATCAGGCAACAATGGTGAAAAGAGTCGAAACTGTAAACTCATTGCAGATTGCGCAGTTACATGATACACTTGTCAAGCGTGGAAAGTTACGTTGAAATTAGTCTGTTAGTCTAGAAGAAATCATCCGGGCGTTTTTGGTCAGTGGGATGAACGGACGACTTATCTTGATTTGGATGATTAAGGTGGGAGGCTGATTAAGACAAAACGTTCTTAAAATGAATAAGAATGCAGTTGATTTACAACCGCAAATATAAGTCTCAGTTGAATTTAAGAGGAAAACAAAATTCAGTAACACATTATAATTTTTCACTCAAGCGTTAAAATGTGTCTGTGCTTCGTAAAATATAGCATACCGAATGATTTCCACATAGGGTACCGTCTGCCGGAAGCAGAAGTGCGCATGAACCAGTTTCCGGAACAAAGCATGGCATCCCGCGGCAAATAGTTGAGTAGTCCATGATGAGGTCCTGTTAGTAAATCAGAATGTTTAATTAATGTTCTGGGTAAATGTACCTTGAAATATGAATCTTTTAGTACATATATTGGTATATACAGACCATTTTGTGGTTAAGGTTCCCCCTGTACATACGACCACGTTTAAAGGATTCTGATAATACGAAAAATGTGTGTCCTTACAGCGAGGAACTATATAAAAACATGTTGTTGAAAGATACTTAACTCGTAATTGAAAAATATATTATTTTTTTCTTCATTAATCTGTATATATATTTGGAAATCAGAAATGATCAAAATAAGATGAGGTGATATTGTTAGTATTGGTAAAAGTATAGCACATTATATAAACACAAGGACAGATCACAGGACACCATCAGTGCCTATTGGTGAAATTCTCAGTTCAGTCAAAACCAGCTAGACTTTATCATGACGATGAATACCCAGATCACAGGGTTTTGTTAGCATTGTTTGGAGGATAAATTGTGAGTGTTTTGGTACAAAAATGCTCCTCCAACATATAACTAATTGCAACCAGATCCTGTGACCAGACAGCTTCATGTTGAACGCCTTTTTGATTGATTGATTGATTGATTGGTCTTCACGTCCATATTCCGGTAATTTATCGAACGGAGCCTAACACAACAAACACTATGTATTATTACGGTAGTTCTTTACCCGACAGACATAGGAGTTTTGACCGTTGGTCAGTCTGCACTGTTGGTCAGCACCGTACGTGTCACCAGGTAACTCCCGGAGGTATTCGTGCAGGTTCTCGGGATACTGGTTTCCATACGAGTCCACCAGACAGTTACTGTACATAGACGTAGTCATGGTTACAACAGCACATCGTTCACAGAAATCTACAAGAGCTCAAATTATATCTAGTAGGTGTTGGACTTTTAACAACCCGTTGAGTTATACAGGATCACAGAATTATGAAATGGATGCAGCTTAACGCTTGAATAATGCGGACAAGTCCCCAAAAGACTATATAAAGGCATGGGAAGAGAAAGGGTACCGAGATACGTGAAAGTCAAAGATACCACGAAAAGATGGCACTCACGACTCAAACATTTTCATATTGACACAGATTTTGGTTTATTACATCTTTTCATCCATTTTGAAAGTTGTTTACGCCTTTATTTTTGTGTAAGTTTAAATTGCTCTTATTCCATCAGCATCTTTTTTGAGGCACGATGGGATTGGCATCACCGAGACGACTATACGATCACCTGATCTCTGTGCACTTCATTTTATTATATTAAAATAATTACACTTTGATTTTAAACTTTAATCACATACGTTTGAAGCTCCCCGATGTATTCCTTGAAGTAGCTGATGGAACACGGAGAAAACTGCCAAAGGTTTCTAGCTCGAGCTTCATCCGGCGGAAAGCGGAACCTGGGCGTCATCATGTTCAGCTTAGTCGACAGACAGAAGTTTCCGTCTAGGTCGAGTCTTGCTCCAAGACTACAACACAACACTGATCACTCAACACAAACGTGGTCATTAAAACCCTAGTCAGTGTATAACACTTCAAAATCAATTGTTTGTCTCTAGTTATATTTAACGCCTTAATTGCCTAAAAGCTTTTCCGTATAAATGTTATGTAACTTCTTTCATGTTATTATAACGTCACGTGCTTTTCTTTATGGATTTCACGTCATATTGTCTTCCGAAACACTTTTACGTTGCATGATTTTGCGGATTAGTTATATGTCACGTGCTTTTTCCATATAGATATGACATCGCGTGCTTTTCTCAATAATGTATAAGTTACAAACTTTTCCCGGGTAACTCTTATGTCACATGCTTTTCTAAATAACTGCAACATAATTCCGTAAAACTTTTATGCAACAAACTTTTCTGTATACCTGTTACGTCACATATTTTTCTGTAGAACTGTTACGTCACACACTCTTTTGTAAAAATGTAACGTCACATACTTTCCCGAACACTTTTTAGAACCGTTACGTCACATTTTTTTCCATAGAGCTGTTACTCACATATTTTTCTGTAGAATTGTTACGTCACATATTTTTCTGTAGAACTGTTACGTCACATACTTTCCCGTACACCTTTTTTCTACAGAGCTGTTACTCACATACTTTTCTGTAAAACTGTTACGTCGCAAACTTTTGTGCAGAACTATTACGTCACATACTTTTCTGTAAAGTTATTACGTCACATTCTTTTCCGTACTCTTTGAAGAGCTGTTACGTCGTTTGTGTATCGAATGAATGGTGTTTCAACTTTACCAGCTGGTTTCGTGCATAGTTTCCGTTTGACGCGTTGTGGCGTATCGAGAGAGGTAAGTTATATGATGTATATCAAAGATAAATGTATACCAGGCAATGAATTATTTTAGTAACTTGAAAAGATTTGTCGTTACAATATAAACATACCTATATTTGTCCTGTTTGTCAGGACTTGACGGTACACGTGCTTTACCTATTCCCTGCGTGGGTACGTACCCTACTGATAGTGCGCACGTATATCACACCTACCTACGACCTATTTCCTGTCCGAAGAAGCCCACGGTCCGGGTGTCGTACGTATCCTCAACAACAGATATGGGGGAAAATTTGCAGATGGAGTCCGGGAATGATAAACCTGTAACCATCGAAAAAATTGAACTCTGTAGCGCTAACAAATACGTATGATGACGTCATAGGAGGTTATACTCGCGATGGGAACATTTGCTAAGTATCGTTCATATTTCAGCGAATATTGTACAACACAACCAAGGCATACAACAAAGTGTTCGTACTAAGAAGCAACATAGTATTATATTGATGTGATGTGTACTTCTTACCTTTGTAGTAAGCAGTTCCGCCGTAAGTCAGATTGTACCTGAGAAGTACAAATGGAAAGCAATTAAAATGAATGATAACTGCAGTAGCAGACGCGAATTATGAAAATTGTTGTACATTTCACTTCAAGTCTATTATTGTTCTCAGAATCCAGCTCTATCCCGATCCTCTCAGCAGTACAGGCCGGACTCACGACTTATTACATGCGGGACTTATGCAGGTCTAGGAATAGTAAGTATAAATTACATACATAATTGATTTTTCTCTCTATATAAATAGCCAGTTTTCAGGCCAATGCAATACAATGTGTATTTCACATTGTGACAATACACGATGCTTTTTCACCCCAGTTGTCGGAACTCGTTTTCATATACTGTAGTTCATATATATATAGTTCATATAGCGATGACGCCGATTGAAAGGTGTGAGCTTCTTGTGGCGCGTTTGAATATATGTTAAAATACTTGTTTTCGCTGGAACCCATCGTTTGTTATCAAACATATATAGGTTACGAATAACCGCTAGGTAACGTGACGTTATTAGTCCGTTCACGACGTCGTATTATCCTCATTTGTTGTTCGGTTCGGAACCAAATTGAATAAAGTTTTTTCCAATAATATGGTTTGTAATAGAAACAGCATCATAGTGTTCATCTGACGTGTCAGATTGCACTCGTTTATTGTGCGAACGGATACATTTCATTCGAGCTAAAGCTCCGTGAAATATATCCATACACGCAATGCAGCTGACATGTCAAATGATTACCAGTTACATAAAAAAAAATCAAAAACCAATCAAATACTCACATGACCTACTCTAGTGACTAAAACGATTACCATGGTAACGTGTGATTTACCAGTCAAACTGTCATGGTAACGAAAGACCTATTAACCACGTGACCTACCCCGTGAAGAGTACGATGTGGTCGAAGGGCGTGAGGATAGTGTCGTTGACCCAGCCCTGGAAATCCTCTAATACTGCGGAGGCGTCCACCATGTCCCTCAGTGACCCGCCCACTGGCTCCTCGCGCCGACCCTCCGTCCAGTACGCCGCCGTGGCATTCTGTCATAACCAATAGTTCACTTACAGTGACATTTCGTTATACTGACATAATTTGTCCCGCAAAACGTTGGCGTTGTTAAGGGGATTGGCAGCTCAATTATCGCGGAAACCTATTAACGGATTCTTAGAAAAAGGTGAACCCTCGAATAATGTTGGCGGTAAGTTATATTCGATTTTAACACATTTATTGTCCTAATCTGAGTAGAGAATTATGTGCAAGCTATGTTATAACTTAACAGAGCTTTTCCTCTAAACACAAAAATATACTTGACAGCATTTAGCCAGGAGTATACATGTATCTGATGAAGATAACAAGACGTATTAACGTAAGTGAACGTAAGTTATGAAGCGTCTCAAACTCTTAAGTCTGTCTGCGGTACAGGACATTAATAAACCAATTATTTTACCTATCACAACACTATGAAACAAGATTGATTCAGATTGTTTTATTCCTTGTGTAACACACATCGGAGAGTAGACATACAAATAGTACAGTATATTACAAATTAACAATGATACATGTATACAATGATATTCATTAATCGTGCAGTACTTCAAAATGACATATAATAAGAGACAGCATTTTACACTGCAATACACCAACATCGTAAGGTTCCGATACATAGCAAGCATAACAATAGTAGAACTTTCAATGACGTACGTTACAGGTAATGATAACTGGATTAATATAGTTACATACATTTTATCGCACATATGTCACGAATAAATACTCTCTAGTAGAACAGTAAAAAAAAACACAATAAAATACACTGCCATAGTGTAATAAATACGATGTTACACCTGACGTTAGTGACAGTGATATTACGATATAGAAAATACTCGTCGATGTTTCGAAGTTGTTAATTATGATTAATTTACCATATAATTTATATCACATAGGAAAGGAAATGAACGGGCACAATCACCTTTTTTTTTTACACAATATACACATAATACAAATATCTTAACAAATATGGTATACTGAAATGAACATTTACAGGAAAAATGAGATAAGTATTATAAGGACACCAGGGTAGTGATGATTGGTTTACCTTAGCGATGATAAGCCCGCCAAACTCTAGCTTTATCCTGACGTCAGAGTCTACAATTCCTTCGTAACGCGCATTCGTCTACAAACAAAGCATGTACATCATTACTTTTACTCTCATTTCAATTCTTAAATAAAAATAGATATTGCATAAAAGTTATTTGATTATAATCGTGTATGATATTAACAGAATAATTCCCTATGGAGAGGTATAAGTATGTTGACTCAAACACATGAGATGAAATATTGAAGAAAATCCCCAGATTAACCGAGGGGTTTTCTTCGATATATTGAGATTTATATCACTTTATCTATGCCTCATTTCCAGGGATATACGTATAACTTATTGTGGGTTTTTTCTTCAACGCATATTGTGACGTCACAGTCGCTGTGCTATTTATTTGTGACATCACATAAGTCATCCAGACTTTTGGGTCAGATTAATATAATCTTTCCCCACCTTTGAGGTAATACAGAAAAATATTAACCCAATGGGTAATATTCCTTAATGTCTAGCACGAGGTTTTGTCTTGCATGTGACGGAAAAGGGCAAAGTTATTGTATCCGATTGCACTACCCCAAACAAATTCATCAACATCCGGATAAATGAGGAGTGTAAGGTTTTATCATTGTGAACATTACTTTGTGTTATAATAATAATGTGACTTTTGTACAATTATACTATTGTAATCATTACTATATAAGTTTAACTATGCGGTACACTTCGATATTTTGCGGAAATCAGCCTTCCCGCACCAAACAGGAAGTGGAACACTACATCTTTCCTGAGCTCAAGTGTCCGAAAATCATTATTTCCGATAGCTGATTGAATAACGATGTTCCATAAAATTCTTGTAAACCCATGGCCACAGCATAACTTGTGTATGTTGTTATTGCATATGTTCTTGATTCCATTCCTCCTCCTATGCTGTTTTGGGCATTAGCAAGGCTATTAGTTAAGGCTAAATGGGACTTTTTATTAAAGAAGATTGTCAAACCAATTCAAGTAACTGTAAACTATTGGTAAGTAGTAATAATATACATGTACGTCATTGTAGAAGTCGCTGGACTGAGAATATTTTTCTTGTTTCTCATAATGAATATTCAAAAAGAAAAGGGATTGCGTTTTTAGTATACATTTATACTTACCCTATTGAAGACAAATGAGTAGTAGCGCGTGATATTCTGCTCTGTGGCCTTCTCACGTTCCTGTCTCGTGGCGTCCGGTAGGTTGGTAAGTTTGTAAAACCTATTAAATCGACATATTTGTACAAACAAACACAAAAGGGTCACACCTATGGACTTTGCGCACATTTCGTCTTAATTTTGTTTATTTGGTTCCAGCTTGATATAAGGATTAATAACCTGCTTTTCATAATTAAATTCATACATACGATAAAAAATTCTCGAATTTTCAAAAATTAATAACTACAGTGTGTATTTTGTATTGTATTCATGCTCACGATTAAGGCTTTAAACTATCGCGGCAGCCAATTTACCTCCTCTGCGTATGTCATGCGCGCGTTATATGCTGAAACAGCTTAGGTTATCGTACGCAAAGTGGTACATATGAATTGGGTCTTAATAGATTTGATTGCCGAGATGAAATGGAGCCGATTCTAAGGATGGGTTTACATACCAAGAGTACACAGCAAAGTCCACTACCATCAGAATCTGTAACCGGCTGTAGTCGTCTGCCTGTCGCTTCCTTCTGACGTCCCCAGATTCCTCCTCGGATCCTGCTACCGCATCTTGCAGACAATATCGACATATGTAGGTAATTACATGTATTGGAATAAGATTGCTATAGAGGATGATTGGGTGGATAACGCACTCGCCATCACCAAGGCGGCCGGGGTTCAATTCCCCGATCGGACTTGAAAAGGTATTGGGTCACCTATCCGATCACGTGGGTTTTCTCCAGGAAATCGTATTTCCTCCGACATTAGAACATTCGGGCTAACAAGAGTTATCAATATAAGTTGGAATAACTTGTTCCATCAGTTTTGTAAAATAAATAATGTTTATAAAGAATACCAATAAACTACACAACCGACCCTTGTCAATCCGGAGTTTGGTAATAAAGAAATTTCCCTTTCCGGACGTCAGCGGTGATTCTTGATATAATTATTTTTTGATACGTTTTATCAAAAACATTTATTTACTTTGATTGCTATCGAACATGCCGATATGTTTGATAATTTGATACTTTTGAAGTAATACTTGCAAAATTTGGGAAAAATGAATAAATAAAATATATCCTTTGTCCTTTTTAAAGTGTTTCGTCTGGACACGGCGGATGAAGATAGTTTGATGATCGAGTATTAAGAACAGTGTAAAATATTATCCATTCATATGAACTCGGAGAAAATACCTTAGATATATGTTCTTGTTTTATGGACTCGGAGAGAGTTTGTTAATAAGCTACAAATATGGTGAATATATCAAATATATAATTTATAATAAATATGTAAAAGACGAAAATACCCATGGGCACGACACTTGCTTTATATCATTTCACAGCTGAAAACACACGCAGATTTACGTGATCTATTAATTTTAAATCAAAACCTGTTTGAGTAACACAAATAAAAACTTTTTGTTTTTAGAAATAGCGTAACGATATTTTCCATTTTCAAAACACCGATGTTCATCTTTTATAAAGATTAATGTTTAAATTTGACAGTAGGTTGGATCATCGGAGATTTGCTTCTTCTAAAATACGAGAATCAAAGAATGCTGCCTAGCCGTTACAAGATCGATATCAGTGGTTTACTGGTACCCTGTCATATCCGACTACCATTTGTGTCGGTAAAGACAGGTTGTCGACAGTCTATTTTATCTGAACAAATGATCCAGTCCCTAAATGTCAGTAAATACAGGTTTACTGACATATTGTCTTATCTGAGCAAACGTTTCGGTCTTCGTTGTGTCGGTTTAGACAGGTTAAGTACTGACACACTGTCATATCGGACCAAATGATCCAGGCCCCCTATGATGGTGGTAAAGAGAGGTGGTTTTTTCATAATTTGTTTATCAGGAGATCAGGAACATTTTTAAGTAAGGAAAACTTGTTTTTTATCTTTTCTGTTATCTTTTACATGTATTTTGGGATTTTCAGGTGCATTAAAACGAAACGACCGTTGTATCTTATTGAGTCATTTAATACAAAACATTAGGAAAAGAAATATATATAATACCGACAATCAACTGGAACTGATTCTAACCAATTAACAAATTAAGTCAATATATATATATTTCCATTGAAATGAATATATACAGTTATTACAGCAAAACATATTTTTGAAATTGATTTAAACATTAAATAAGTGAAAGATCGCGCATAACATGTCACGTACTTATTGGGTTCCGACAGGAACAATATACTTACCAACAGATGTAAAAGCATCGCTATTCAACATCAATGGTTGGATTTCCACCATAGAAACCATAACTAATATGTAGATGATACAGATGACTTTATCCTCCATAATCACGTCTTCAATATTTCACAAAACGGAGCCGGTACGGTATCTCCGTACTCAGTGACAACAAAAAAACGATTGTACGGGTGTCAAAAGGTTGATCAGGTTAAATGGAGCAATGCATTAAAGGCACACGTTCTCAGTGAATTCAAGACTCTGACGTTCTTCAATTTTTATTTCATTTGTTGTTCTTGTTTTGTTTTATTTTTGATATTGAATTATTTTTTACAAATGTGCACGTGGACTAAGCTTTCACGTGGTCACTTGTCATAACAAGATTATTTCAAGAAACATTTTTATTTGTTATTAATTGTTTTATAATTTTTACATGTAACGTTAGTTGCTTATTTCATTAAATATTGGTTGTTGTTCCCTTAGGGTCAGCGATAGGTCGTGTGTTATTTCTTTCCAAAATTGATGGCTTGGCGAAGAGTGCTTAACGGTATTAAGCCAAAACTGTTCAAATTAATAATATACCAAGTTATCAAACAATATCCTAACTGCATGTTATTAAGTCTGTAAAGTCTGGGGAAAGTGTCTGATTTGTTTATGTTGTTTGGAAAATGTGCTAGTCTAAAACATATAATGTGCTGATCGTGTCACATTCTAGTGAAATAGCACTATAATTAAATTGATTATTTAAAACTTGAAAAGTCGTCACATGGAATGTACAAAATTATATAAAATAAAATTATATAAAATTATATAAAAAATATATACCAATTACTTCAAACATATTTTATCACCAATTCAAATTAAACAAGGGATTAGGCACAATTTATCACAACTTAATTATCATCGCATACAAATTTACAACGAGAGGTCACAAACTAAAAAAAATTCGAGCGGACAGGATTTACCGTCAATTTAATATTAATACTTACTTACTCAAGACTAAACATTTTAAAACAGACACTGTGCAATACTGCCGAATTTGTATTAATAGAACAAAATAATCGACTTTGTCCCTTTAAACAGGTGCGTTCCGTCTCTAGTTGGTCAGCACTATATGACCAGGATCTTTGTATGAGGATCGGATGTCATGTACAACATACCCCATGCCTAACTGATGCATGTCCATATTTGGTCATTTGACGTTATAAGTGGGGTTAGTGACGCCGAGAACACGGTAACTGCTCCGGGGACCCATGTCATCTGTCAGAGCTGATAGGTCCTACCAGGCACATGGTTGTTGTTGGAAAATAAAATGTCTTCCATCAGCTTGCTTTGTAAGCTTACAGATTTAAATATTTTCCAAAATTCGGAGACTGTCTAAAGTCTAAATTTGTGCATCACATTTACCGTCACCACATCAATATCATCAATAACAAAGTGAAATTATACCCCAACCAATGCATAGTTATAATGAACATAAATACTTCGTGAAATATAGATTTTGCTCAATTCCCGTACTTTTATGTATTTCACCCAAACAGGACAATAGCTCAAGGACTATTGCCCGGCCAGAGACTAAATTGCCTTCAGCTGAGGGAAAGAGTAGGTCCTTTTTTACCCCACGTCGGCGTCATCGGGAAAATATTGCAGACTATTCCATTCTATAGCCTTTACCAGCAAATGTAGGACTTTGGTCATCTGGAAACCTAGATATTATTTATTTTGAAAATAGAAGATATGCTTACCACGTTTTATTTCGGAAAGTTTTTTTCACAAAAGGTATGAAAATCGTCTTTATTATCAAAATGGAAGGATTTCGTTATGTTGAGCTATGAATGAAAACCCTTCCTTTTATACAATCGGACCGCTATATAGTTTTAACGTGGCCTTTCCTCAAAGTGCAACGGCATTGGGTCACCTGCCCGACAACGTGATGAGTGTTTTCCCCGGGTACTCAGTACTTGTAGTTTCCTCTCAAATAAGACCCCGTGTGCGCTAAGGTATTTCCAAATAATATTGTATTAACGTCATTTAGACATTTAATAGACAAATACATTTTTTAACAAATAACCTTTTTTGAAGGGGTAAACGAGATTGAGACCGAACTGTCTACCTGAATGTATCGTCGGTCACATGGTTCTGTACCTGTCTGGCGTCACCTGTTAGACAGGTATATCCTGTTAGTTCTGATACCCTGGGAAAACCTATAAATCGGATATCATGTACGTCCTGACGTGAGAAAGCCATTACATTTATCCTTAATACACAAGTAATTCTTTAGATGTGATACAAAAATAATTCTTCATGTGTGAATCGCCGCAATATTCAACGTTTGTACAATATACATTTCCTCTGTGTGTGAGTCACTATAAGATGAATACATCTTAGCCCCTTGATTTCGCAAAATTTGCGGAATTTAAATTTCGCTCAGTACCGTGAATAGTCTTTACTAATTAACTTACTATTAGGAGGACAATGATGAAAACGTGGGGTTTCTTAATTTTGTCAGTCTGAAAAAACATATAGTATAGCATTATGCTTTAATTACCTACAGCGTGTCTGATTGAATTATATTGGTGACATGACAGCGGGAAACATTGCGTTTGCCTCATGCGCTCGATAATCCCACGTTCGAAGCCTCTGCAAGACTGAAGCAGATGGTTCAATGGCGTGTTAAATTTCGACATAATGATATATTCGATTACCAATATGGTAGGAAAAGGAATGTCCTTGATTAACTTTATGTTTCAAATAATGGATCGTGTTTCCCTGCATAAAAAAGAAGAAGAAATAATTAAATGTATTATGTTGGATTCAGAGAATACTTAGTATTATTACTGAAGAAGAATTCACCTTTTGAAATATTTTTAAATGTCGATATCAAATCATGATATGTTAAGGCGTCTGAAGGATATGGGTTGTGAGGTTTTTAAAATTATAAACAAAATTGCTCCTGAGTATACTCATAACCTTGTAAATATTAAGATGTCTAATCATAACTTCAGGAAAGATGTGCCCAGGGTCAACACTGTGAAGTATGGACATAAATCGTTTGCTTTGAGGCCGCCCGGGTGTGGAACAGTCTCCCAAATGACTTCCGGAAAGTTGAAAACTTCAAAGAATTCCGGAGGCTGGTCCATTCCTGGGATGGCCCCATCTGCCTTTGCAATATCTTCAATGAGTGATACGTTATACTGTGCCCTGGTTACCTCTGCCACCTGACATTTTGAATTGTGTGATACGTTTATTGTCTTATTTCATTTCATTTCTTACATGTTTTAATTCTATTCTGTATTTTTGCAGCATCTTATTTGTATTTTAATTCCATATATTCTAAAATATAAATCTCTACAAAACTTTTGTTAATTGATTTCGGTATCATTTTTTAATTCACACTATAATAGTGTATATTCTGTCAATTTTTATTCTTTGCTATATTAGCATTGTATGTATATTCCACCTCATAGTGTTTTAATCCTAAGTTATTCTTGTGTGATAGTCAAGTATTCATTCACTATTAACTTTGTCTTTTATATACTTATTCTGAATACTATTTATCTGTGATCACATTTAATGCTTTTCATATATTAACACAATTTTTATATATTTATTGTTTCAGAAGGGTCATATCCTGGGGGCCTTTGTAGGTAGGGGACTCCCAATCACTTAGAAACCTGGGATATGGATACTTTCTTTTTCTGTGATAATTATTACTGCTTTTTATTAATTTATGTGATTATCTCCATATACTTGTAATATAATATATTATTGTTATTTTACATATGTTTGTCGCAATAATAGCTCTCAAGAGCTAATGCCCTTGTTTACCTGTATGCGACGTTAAATAAAGTTTCTTGTATCTTGTATAATGGCTTATATGTAGCACCACGGACTTAGATCTAATCTAATTCCGTGGTAGCACCGATTACCGTAAATTACTGAGCGTGACCAGATGACTTGGTAGATTTTCACAAATATGGTTCGATAGTTGTTATTAAGTTAATGGGGCATGACCGATTATATGATATAGTATACCACGGACTTAGATAATACCGTGGATATACAGTGGAGATGTTTTTTGATAGTGCAGCTTGTATTTTTAGAAATCAAAGTAATAATTACTTCATTTTTCTTGGAGTGCCTTTTTTCACACATGAAATGCGTCTTCTGTTGTAAACTGATAAAAATGCTTTGGATATTGAGCTCGATTTTGATGTATAATATTGTTTGTTTTCAAATTAACCTTTTTAGTAGACGTCAATGCCAGCTCTTGACTGAGATTGCTATCCTTTATTCTCGACATTCCTGGGTTAATGATATAAGCGTAGCCCGACCCGTTGGTTTTGAGCGAGTCTTGGCACGCAGATTTAATATCCGGAACGTTCCGTGCCTTTATTAGATACCAAGTCGCATTTCCGCCAAGAAAAAAAAATCGATCGTGATTTGACAGGTAAGCAGACGATCCATTATCTTGTCCTGGACGTACAGTTGGTGTGGTCATGTCTTTCAGCTCAAATACGAAGGGGCGCTTCAAATTCAAATTCCTCTTAACTAGGACTCTGAAAAATGCCAGCAAATCAGTGAAAAGATGAACATCAGTCATCCCCATGCTAGTTTTACGAAGTTTTGCATGGTTCAGCTGTTGTTCAACTTCAAAGAATCGCTATTGTTTATCTCAGTTCACTACTTCAAACGATAGTAATGTTTGAAATAACCATACTAAAATAGTTGAAGGTTATAGATATTTTTTGAAGATTGCATGTTGGATAAGATACCATGTGATTAAAGATATACCCCTATAGAGTGGTTGAGGGTGTGGTGCCAGCCTTACCCTCGTATGAATTCCTAACACCAGTTGCCGGAAATAAACGTAAAATTCACCCACAGGATTTTAGTGACTATTATTATAAAAATACTGTTGAAAATTACACCTATGATAACCCTTTTAAGTGTTTCAAAGCCCAGAATTGTAAAACAGAATAATTTAAAAACACTTTCTTCAATAAGACTAAGTAGCTAGCTATTGACTGGAACCATCTGACAACTCAACGCATACTACCACGGTGGAGAGTTTCAAAGGAACCCTCACCCTTCAGAATGATCAGACTACC